GAAATAGGAATCCTCATACACAGCTGGTGGGAACGCACACTGGTGCAGCCTCTATGGAAAACAGTATGGAGATTCCTCAAAAAATTAAAAATAGAAATACCTTATGATCCAGTTATCCCACTTCTGGGTATTTATCCAAAGAACTTGAAATCAATAATCCAAAGAGGCTTATGCACCACTATGTTCTTCACAGCATTATTCGCTATAGCTAAGAAGTGGAAGCAACCCAAATGTTCCTCGACTGATGATTGGATACAGAAGATGTGGTATATATACACAATGGAATACTACTCAGCCATAAAAAAAGACAAAATTGTCACATTTGCAACAACATGGATGGACCTGGAGGGTATTAAGCGAAATAAGGCAGAGAGAAAGACGAATACCACATGATTTCACTCATGTGGAATAGAAACCAACACACAGACAGAACTGTTTGGTGGTTACCAGGAGCAGGGGGATTGGGGGCTGGGGCACAAGGGGTGAAGGGAGGCATTTATATGGCAATGGACAAATAATAATGTATAACTAAAATTCCACAATGTTATAAACTATTAAGACATCAATAAAAAAATTTTTTTAAATGGCTGGCTGAGACCCATAAAACTGCTATGGAAAGATTTTTGATTTAATTGGACAATACCAATTCTGTTATAGAATCCCAAAGAAAATTCTAATTCTGTAAGAGACAGCAAGTTTACCTTAGTAACCCATGCTGCAGAGTTAGCAGGTGAGCCTTCATAGACTCAGAGGAGTTTGGCTTCAAGAACTTTAAGTTTATAGCACAGGTAAGTTAGAAAGGAAGAAGTAAAGACCTCCTAGAATTAAGGAGAAGAAAGTTTCTAGGCATATAGAATGAAGACTTTTATTTGTGCGGACATACACGGGTCCTGAAGAAGTTGGTGTTTTAAGTCCTTGGGTCTCACATCTACCAAACCTAATGTGTCTGCTGCAAACTTACAGAACCCCAGAGTGGGTAAAAGAAGTCTCTCATTCAAGTTGTGATTCCAAATAAGGCAGAAATCAAGCTAAACATAATGAACTTGTGGGGTTAGAAAGTTTAAGACATATTAGGTACCAGAATCTTCTGACGATCACCGAAGGAGACAGCTTGAACTCCGTGGTGTAGGGAGTTAATCTTTTATGTTACCTACCTGTCTCTCCTGTTGGGAGGTGTAGGTGAGGGGCCATACACAAATATGTGGGTTCCAGGTTATGCCAGTTCCAAATCATTGGACTGGTGATTTTTTGGGTGGATATCCCAAACCAAAGAAAAAATGTAGAGCCACAGAACAAAGAAAACATGGAGAAAAGGGGCAGGATTATGATCCTGAGTCTTCTCCTACTGAACCGGAAGCCTTTTGACCCCTTCGTCAGGCATGTACCTGAATCAGGTAGAGTAAAGGAACTAGAAACTATAAAAGCACCCTCTTGACAGATCCAACTGAAATGACTAGCAGCTGATTACACTAAGGAAATAATAAAAACCATGTTTCAAGGAGCTATTGACTTACCTTGGTCATTTGTGAAAGCCAGAAAACAGCTGTTCTACAGGAGATCAACATGTAAATCTGGTCAGATGCACCAGAGCACAGTGAATAACGGACACCAAGCTGTAACCCAAATTATAGCAGTTCTTTACTTTTGGGGAGATTCTCATAGGCTAGGGATAGATATAGAAGTAGGTCTCTTTGCTAAGCCCATTTAGCAGAAAGTTAAAAAAAGACAAGACTCACTTTGTGGAGGACAGATGGTGATCACATTAGAATGCCAGGGAAAAGCAGATTTTCACTCATATGAAAATTTTAAAACAGTTTAAGTTGAAAAAAATTACATTTCTTTTAAATTATATTTTTTTAACTCTAAACAATATGAGTTTCATGATTTTCCCTTTGAATTGAGTAACCCTTCAACCATTCTCCAAAGATTGGTTAATAAAGTGTGTGGACCAGGTATATTTTCCATATCACTAAATTTATCCATGAATATTTGTCTAACATATTGAATGACATCTGAAGCAAGTCCAGTTAGTGTCAGGTTCAGTTCCTAAAGTCAGGCCTATGTTTAACCTTAGTAAATGCTAATTTGAATTTAAAGAGGCCAAATCACTAAAGAACAAAGTGGAATTTAGGCACGTAACCAAACCTCTTGGGATCAAGAAGAATCCAGTGAAAATTGGAAAGTGCCTACAATTCAAGGAACTAATCATTTGGGGATTGGGGGGGAGGGGGTTAGCTACTTTGACAATAAAACTAAAATAAAGCTGCTGAGGAAACAAATCTGTTTCCTAGACCAGGTGATTATTTGGCCATTGTTTGGACTTTTGATAAACTCAGGCTTATTGGTCAAAAATCTGCTTTATAGACTGACTGGCAAAGCTTCACTTAAATACTGCAGACACAGCCCTGGAAGCTTACTACTTCCACATGATCTTTAAGCATTATCCTAGAATGAAGGCCAGAAAAATGGGAATTCTGCTCTTGCCCTAAACAAATTCACATTAAGTGGACCTAATGTTCATAACTTCTGTTAAGATAGTAATCCCTAGTTAGAGAAACTCAATGTGCTAGTTATGTTCAGAGGTCATGTTTAAGTGTTTGATCAAGTGCATTGTTAGGTAATTGGTCCTGATTGCATCTAAAGCACAGATGGGAATGGAAGCTTTAGGACTGGGAATGGGGGAGACTATTCAGCAAACATTGAAGTATCCCATATTCCCAGTTCACTCATTGGAAAGAAGAGGATCATAAAGCTGGAGATCCCTTCTTATCCTTTTTTGGGTTAGAAGAAGCCATGTGGACAGTTAGGGGCTTGTGAGAATTATTTTAGATAAATGAGACAGACTATATTCCACTGAAATTAGCCTCTACCATCCACCTCAGAAAAGGTGTTGCAAAGAGTTGAAAAGATGTTATTAGGTGAAGACTGAAGAAGAGTTTTAAGATGTGCCCAGAAGGCTCAGCTGGCTTTGGATGTGGAAGACTGTCTAAACTTAAAATTACACTAATTGAGATTCTATATGACAAGTGAACAACTCACATATAAATAGAATTCTTTTTTATTTTTCCATTTGCTCAAAAAAGTCTATTTCTTGAACCTCTGGATACCCAATCTGTATTCTTGTATCTTATTAAGTATCTTAAAGCACGGTGAAAATTGGCATTCTAAGATTCCATGTTTAAAAACATGAGTCTCTAGAGAGGTGGACTAACTGTTGAGAGCAGAATGAGGAGTGTTCCAAATACTTGTGTCCCTAAGGCTTAAAATTAGGGACACAAATTTTGAATGTCATATAACATACCATCCAGAGTGTCACAAGGTGTCAACACGAGCCCACCAATGATACAGGGAATGCCTGCAGAAGCTACACATGGACTAAATTGCCTCTACTTTCACTGATGTTTTAGGTGTTTCAGGCATGTAATTTTTCCCCACACCTCAAAACTTAAGCACACATTGGCAGAAAACTATGAGGAGGAAAACTTTACATTTTATACCTGTGTTAATATTCATTCTCCTCTTATGTATCATCTGGAATATATAGTCAGACTAAAAGGAATCTATTTTAATGTTAAATTGACTATATTTTTTGACTTATTAAAGCTCTTCTGTGGTAAGAAGACAATACCTTCTTTATGTATACATATTTATGTTCTTTCTTCCTAAGCATTATATAGAAAATGAGGTAAATGAAGTCAATGTTCTTTACTAACAAGCCACCCACCCAGCATACTTTACTATTCTATTTTTCTTGGGGGAAGAGGTACTTCTTGTAAGCTTGTATTATCACCTTAGTGGTCTAGAATACCCTCCTAAGGGCTTAAATTTCAGCTAAGAAGTAGCTGAATAGGAATCTGACAAAATAGAAACACTTCAAAGGGCTATGAATACAATTTCTGAATAATTAAAGATTGAGAAACTTTTTTTGTAAAGGGCCAGATAGTAAATATTTTAGGCTTTGCAGGCCAAGAGCTGTGTGACTATGACCCACAGTCTGGCACAGCTACTCGACTCTGCCATTGTAGTGCAAAAGCAGCTGCACACAATACATAAGCAAATGAACATGGCTGTGATTCACTGCAACTTCATGTACACTGAATTCCATATGATTTTCATGTCAGGAAGTAGTTCTTTTAATTTTTTTTCAACCATTTAAAAATATGAAAATCATTCTTAACTCATGCAAAAACAGGTGGTGAGCTGCATTGGGCTACAGCCTGTAGTTTGCAACCTCTGGTTTAGTGGATGGTCTAGTAGTAGATAGGCTTAGAATTTGGAAAAAATGGTGCCATACCATCAGTGTCTTTTATATAAAGAGATGCCATCAAGCCCTGCCTCTCAGGATTGTTATGCAAATAAAATTAGAGATTGGAGGATTTACAAATGCCAGGCATTTTTAACTCTTGTTCATTGGTGGGGCAACACTTTCAGCTGTGGTGGTTGTAAAAACTGGACTTTACCTTTGGAGTGTCTTTTTCTAAATAATGAAAAGCTGAGGGTTTTCTCAGGCTATTGCAGGAAGAAGAGAGACAGCATTTTAGTCTTATCTAAATATTTCCTAGTTTTTTTCCCAGTGGTTTGTTCCTGACGGTTCTCATACCTTTTCACAGTTTCATTCTACCTTGTATTCAGTCAGTTTTGTAAGCTCTTGCTTACAGAATTAATCTCTCTTACAGGCAGAGAGAACTAAATGAGATGTGTGGTGTACAGGGCAGAAACACTCATGATTTCCTAGGGTGGTTGGAGGTCAGGTGCTTCACAAGGGAAACTAATGCTATTTTATTTCCCTGTTTATTTCTGGAATGTGGCTTATGATGTTATTTGCAGGTGAAGGCAATGCATCAAAGTCTTAGTAATCAAGAAAAGTAAAATGTACACTTTTGTGTTCTCTTGATTAATTTGAAAACAGTATTGCTCTCAAATTTAAAATGCATTAATGTGTTTTCAGGTTGTTTATAGCCATTGAAATATCTATCATTTGCTTTATTTAAAAATTTCAGGTGGAAAAACCTTGCAGTGGTGGTCAAGATTTACTTCTTTATCCAGCTAAGAGAAAGCAGCTTTTGAGAAGTGAACTGAATGCTGAAAAAGTGCCTCCATCTCCACTGCCTGCTCCAAAACAAATACCACTATTAAAAGGATGTCCAGCAGTTATGCCAGGAGACTTTAAAGAGAAAGTTGCGGAGCTGCTGGTGAAATACTCAAGTGGTCTCTGGGCCAGTGCACTCCCAAAAGCATTTGAGGACACGTACAAAGTGAAATTCCCTGAGGATGCCTTAAAAAATCTTGCCTCGCTTTCTGATGTATGCACCGTAGACTACATTTCTGGAAATCCCCAGAAGGCCATTCTCTATGCTAAACTTCCATTGCCCACTGAAAAAATCCAAAAGGATGCAGGGCAAGCACATGGCGATTACGATATCAAGTCTATGATTGAACAAGAATATTTGCAGATAGAAGAAAACATTGCCAAAATTGTTGATACCTATATTGAGAATGTAACAGTTCCTCCATTAGTCATTCCGACTGAGGCATCCCCATCTGTGTTGGTGGTTGAACTGAGCAACACAAATGAAGTGGTCATCAGGCAAGTTTTATTTTCTAATTATTTAGGATCTTGGGGTAGTGTTGTTGTTTGGCTATTCTTCATAGGGATGCTGGGGGTTGAGGAAGAATAATATATTCTTGGTTCTATAGAGTTATAATGAAGTATAGTAATAAGTTCTTAATATTTGTTAAATGTTAAAAATATACAACTATTCTTGTGAGAAAAGATTACTAACAGCTTTAAAAATTAAAATGATAATATTGTCTGAACGTGAAAAAAACCTGTGTTGAAAGCATAATGGTAACTGTATATGTCAAAAGCAATACTTAGTCCACAGAAAAGGAAGTTGCCCACTACATAGGTAATACTATTTAATCTGCGAATATGTAGCATTTCCTAAAAGTCAGAATAGCTAAGCACCACCTTCCTAGTATAATGCATCAGATTAGCCCTCTGGTTACTTGAGCCTTTTGATAGCATTACCTGGGAGGAAGAGTCATTGCCTAAGTGGCTAATGATAAGTGGGTTACAAAAAACAGTCCAGCTCCAAGCACTTGAAATGGACTTTTGGAGAACATATAGAAAGTATTGAAAGACTATAATTTGCAGTTTCTGACTCAAGATAAAAGAATGGGAACCGATGTAGCTGGATCTTGGGAGGCACCAACCCAGGGTGTGGCTGTGGCTGGACAGAATGGAAAGAGGCTGAAGCAGAACAGAAGCCAGGCTCCTGGAACCCAAATGTTCCTATGGTTTGGGCTGTTATTCCTCCAGAGAATCATAGCTGAGCTGGGAAGGCCCGAAGAAAGACCACAAAAACATAATCAAAGTCCTTTAATGAAAGAATAGATCAAAAATATCAAAGCTCTTCCATTTGAGCAAACTAAGTCTGAGTGGATAATGAAGTGAGAATCAAGTATCTTGGGATGTTTAAACTGGAGGAACATACAGGAGCTTTGGAGAGGTCTTGTTTTATATAGGGGTAGTAAATTGATAAAGCTTTTATTCTAAAATGTGGTGTGGCCTGAAGATATAAATAGGTTGCCAAGAGTTAGGAGTCCCACTATGGTTCCGTCATACATTGAGATTAAGGAACGATCTTGAGGAGCACATTGCTAACTTATACCATTTGACATTATAAAGAAAATCTAAATTTGCCTCCTTGGCTGAATCCTTTGATATCTGTTACCAGTAGTCATTGGTGCCATTGTTAGAGACCAGTCACCCAGCACTGGGCTGGATCAATCGTGTGATTTCTGATGTTCCTACCAAGAGTTGGCAGGAATCTGGCTGTGTTCCAGGACTTTAGTAGGAGGCTTCTGATCTATTCCAGGATGATTAGGTTCAGGCTCCTCAGATTATTTGGATCACTGTTTCCAGTAAAAGTAAAATAAATTTGAATCCTGGAGTCAGGATTCTACATGTTCAGCAGGGTGGCTGGTGACCAGCAAGCCTGATGGGTAAAGACTGCCATTAGGTTGACCCTAGGTCATTGGTGACCCCCCACCTCCCTGAAGACTTAGCAGATCCCAGCTGGGCTGAACCCTGTTCTAAACCCATGTCTTTACCCAGGCAGGCAGTAGGCTCTGGAAACTAGGCCTGTGACTCATAAAGGGTCTGGAGAGGTGCTGTGGCAGAACCCTCAGGTCAAGTATGGGAATCTGTCATCTCTAGTCTCAAAAATTAACTTTCTAAAACTTTGTATTTATGTCATACCTAAATTGGTCTACATATCATTCTGTGCCCACTTGCTCAGGTGATTTGGGGACCATGTATGACTTCATTCTTGCCACTACCCACTGTCATACCAACTGTAACGTCACCTCCCTACCCCACCCAAGCCAGGTAGCCATCCTTCTCTGCAGAGAGCAGAAGCTGCCTGCAGGGCTCATGCTGCTTCTCACCACTTTCCTCCTTCCTAGCTGGAGTCTGTGCACTACACAGACTACCAAACAACGGGCTACAGCCCAGGCCTCTGCCAGTTGAGCTCCCAGGGCTGTAGCAGCAACACAAGGAGGCCCCACGAGACTCCAGGTCCCAGGAGACGGGCAGAGTTGCAGATCTCCTAGGAGACTTCAGAGCCAGGAGTGCAACTGCATTCCAGGCAGCGCCTTAACATTTGTAAAGCTCAATAAACTTAAGTGATAGGCTATGACAAAGCTTCTGCCGCTGTTTCTGGAGTGAATAATAGGCATGTCATATTTGGCTTTAAAATAGCCATTGCCTCAAAAGAGGCATTCTTTTCATCTTTTGTAGGACTTTTAAAAGCTTCTTTTCCTCTAATAACAAAAAAGTTGACTATCGTGTCTTCTGCCCTGCTGATAGTTACCAAGAATACATGAAAACACTCCTAAAGGAATAGTTTCTTAAAGCTATATAGGACCACTTGGGCCCTGGGTGAAAGCTAGAACAATACAGAGAACAATGTTGTTGTAGCATATCTCCCATCTCCCTGGCCAGGTGGTTCTGGTGCTGTTATGGCATAGCCTTCTAGCTTAAAAGTCTTCGTCCTATAGCTGAGACATAGGATGTTACAGGAGCCAAACTTGGTTTGCCAGGTTTTACATCCTGGAAGGAGGCCTTTGATGGAATTATCTCTGAGGATTAAAGGGCAAGAAAACAACAACCTATTTGTGGCAGAAAGGAAAATAGTATGTTTTGATAACATGAACTGGGACAGTTGCTGTTGCAGTTGTCAACAGCAGAAAATTGTAGAAAGGGATAGGAGCATATCCTGAGAAAAATACTTCTCAGAAAGCAAACAATTTAAGAGGCATTTAGCTAGAACATGTCATCTCTTTTAAGGGTATCAGAACTCAACATTTTGTTGTAATTTGTTCACATTTGTTCAGTAAGTTGTGGGGGATGTGTTGTCACATGGTTGTGTTTAGTGTGTTTAAGGCTTTGTTTTTCTCTAGTAAAATTTCATTGGTTTTCAGAGCTTGAGGCTTGTTCAGACCCAGCCTTAGTTAGGGCAAAACTATCAGCTAGCTTCTCTTCCCAGTAATCTACAAAGATCTCCAGCAGCCTTAGTCAAAATCTGAAGTCCACTCTTGCTTATGTGGCCTCCATTGGTGTCTCCACTTTCCACCATGTCTTCCTCTCTTCCCTTCCCTTGAGTCTTTTCTCAGTTTCCTCCTCCCCGAAGACTCCCTGACTGCTTACTGTTACATCCTCTGATTCTCTGGATTGTTGTCAAGCATTTGCTCTGTTGTGTGACGTGTTGGACCTTTGTCTTGTTTTGCATGAGCTCCACAATATTATATTTTGCTTTATCAAGATAGAAAGGTTTACTCAATACATGTTCTCCTCCCTGTTGTAAGCAAGTCTGAGACTGGAACCAAAGGTGGCAATAGAAAAACAGAGTAATATTAATGAATTCCTATAGATCTCTTCCTTCTATGGGTTGATTCATTTGTGTTCTTTTCTATTAACTACTTCAGGTATGTGGGCAAAGACTATTCTGTTGCTCAGGAATTAATGGAAGATGAGATGAAGGAGTATTACAGTAAGAACCCTGAGGTCACACCAGTCCAGGCTGTGCATGTTGGGCAGCTGCTGGCCGTAAATGCTGAGGAGGACGCTTGGTTACGGGCGCAGATCATCTCAACAGAAGAGAACAAAATAAAGGCAAGCGCTCTTTACTTTGTCATAGCATTATGAAGACAAGCACATTATTTTTCAAATGAAAATGTTGCTTCTAATCTTGTGTCCTTTCTAACTGTATTTAGTTTTCTCCAGAAGTTGAGAAGATAATATGTGTAAGAGATTATCCATGTCAGTTTTTAAGTCAGTGGTAATTATCTCAGAGTTTTAGTTAAAAAAAAGAAAAAGAAATTCTTCTGCGTGGGAGTCTACATAACCTGTAATGTAATCAGGAAAAGCCCTTCATTCCCATTCCCCAGAGATACATACTAAATACTGATCAGAGCTCTGTGGGCTTCTTATCAGGTTCAGTACATCGGAGTCAGGGAAGCACTACAGATTATAGGAGATGACATTCTTCCTTTTTCCTCTGCAGCAGCCAGCTGAGGAGAACCCCTTCCCTGAAGCACAATGTCAGGGAGTCAGAAAGGGATGCTTGCTGTTTCTTACAGTTTGTTCCATAGGAGAGGCCTTGACCCTCTCTAGAAGTAAGTTCACCCTAACCACCCAGCTACCCTTTGCCATTCACAGAGAAATTTAGGAGATTCCTTAACCAAATCTACAGGCACAACTTTTAAGCAATTTGACCTGACTTTAAAAATCTGAAAATTGGAAAATAGTTTGACAGTTTCTTATAAAAGTTAAATATTTACCATGTGACCCCTAAGTATTTACACAAGAGAAAATGTAAGTCCCCAAAAAGGCTTGTACATGTCTTTGTAGCAGCTTTATTATTAATAGTCCCAAACTGGAAACAACCCAAATGTTCACCAACAGGTGAATGTATAAACAAATTTATACATTTATACATTATAAACAAGTTTATCCAGATAATGGAATACTATTCAACAATAAAAAGGAATGAACTACTGAAAACACAGTCACATGGATAAAACTTACCATGCAAGTGAAAGAAGCCGGACACGAAAGAGTTATACTGACTGAGTCCGTGTAAATGATGTCTAAGAACAGGTAAAACTCATCTGTTGTGATAGAAATCAGATCAGTGGTTGCCTAGGACAGGAGGTGGAGAGAGCTTAATTGCAAAGGGGCAAGAGGAACTTTTTGGAGCGGCAGATGTGGTCTGTTATCTTGATTATGGTGGTGATTACATGGGTATCCTCATTTGTCAAAACCCATCAAACTGTACTTTAAATGGGCATTTTTTCTTCAATGTAAATTATACTTGGATAAAGTTTGAAAACATCTGGAAAAAGCTAAGGACTAAGTTGATAACTGGACTGGTGGAGAGCGCAGTGTGATTAGCACTGGGCACTAGTCCGAGACTCTGCCTGATACTGGTTGTGTGCCTTTGGTCAAGTCCCTCCATTCCCCTGGGCCAGCAGAGTGAAGGCATTGGACTAAATGATTTGGAGTCTGAGGTCTTGGTCCCTAAGGTCTCTCCTTAGCTGTCACTTATCTGTATCTGGAATGCCTTCCCTGGGGTAATCACATGTGTGAAAACACTCCAATCGGGAGACCCCGTCTTCACTGGAACCTCCTCTGTGAAAGAAAGCCACAGAGGGATCAACTTTTAACACAGGTGTGTGTTTAGGGGTGACTCCTTGGAAGAGGGTACCAGAACCACAGTCAGAGCGCCCCTCAGTGGCAGGCCAGGACCCCAGGAGGAGAGATGGTGCTGGGGGTGGTGGGGAGAGTTAGCACATCTCAGAATCTTTAGCACAGCAGGGGGCGGGAAGTCCCAGTGATCACGACCCCAGTCAGTGTGGCCCCATCACTGCTTTCTGCTCAGTGAGAAGCCTGAGTGGCCTCTAGTTGATAGGGGATAACTGCCCCAACGTTCCTAGATAAACTTCTGTTTACTTCTGACCATTTCCCTGCCCTTAGGAAGTTCAAAAAAACTTAAGCTATTTGAAGGCGTAGAGGTAGGTTATGAAGAGAAGAACCATACACAAACCCTAGTGACACATCAACAGTGCAACAGTGTTTACAATAAATAATGCACATACTCCACAAGGATATCTCTCAGTCTGAAATCTGTAGGGCAAAAATCATGTGGGTCTTCCTTCCTTCCTGACCTCTGCTTTAGGAGTTTAAGCTCTCAAGTCAATTAGACCTTAGTTTGAGTCCCAGCTCTGCCATGTCCAGCTGTGTGGCCTTGGGAAAGTTATTTAACTTCTCTGATTCCTTACCTGTAAAACCAGATACTATCATCATGCTAGTATCTGCTTGATAGGCTTTTCATTCATTTTTTTCACTGTCCTACGGCAGGGGACAAGACTACAAGTCCTTGTTCTCAAAAAGCTTATATTCTAGTGAAAAAAGACCAATAATGAAAAAGTATACAATAAATAAACAAGACAGTTTAAGTGCAGTGAAGGAAATAACGAGGGTGCTGGGATAGAAAATTACTGTGAAGGAAGGGATAAGCAGGGAGATGTGATCTGGTTTATTTGCTTCAAAGGTTGTTCTGGTACCAAAGATTGTTCCACTGTGGGAATGGATTGTAGTGGGGCAAAGAAGAAAGTAAGACCGGTTAGTTGGCTATTGCAATAGCCAGCAACGTGTAACCTAAATTAGGGTGGCAATAGTGGAGACAGAGGTAATAGGACAGATTTGGGATATATTTGGAAGCAGAACTGACAGGACACTAATTCATTGGATGTGGAAGGTTAGAAAAGAGAAGATTCAGGATGGCTGCTGGGTTTGGGACTTCAGCAACTGGGTGGGTAGTGGTGCTCCTTGAAGTCTTGGGACTAGGTAAGATCACCTAGAGAAAGGACACCCACAGAGAAGGGAAGAGACCCAGAACCAGGCTCTGAAACACTTCAGCATTCAGATGGTGGGCATAAGAGGAGCAAAGAAGACAGTAAGGGTGGCCAAAGAAGAAGGAAACCAAGAGGGCAGTGTGGTGGAAGCCAGATCAAGAAAGTGATCGTAAAGGATGGAGCAACCAGCTGTGTTTGTTGCTGCTGAGAGCTGTGGGCTGGTATGAGGAATGAAAAGGGTCGCTTGGTATACTGTACAGTAGTAAGCTCTTAAGATAGCAGTAGTTGTAGTGATTCTCACCTGATCTTCTTTTCCACATCTCCATGAACCAGACAGAGATGAATTTTTCTCTTTATCTGGAGAAACCCCAGCTACTTACAAGTCTTGTTTTTCTTGAACTGTGCTTTGCCTGACAGCGAGTGCTAAATCCCTTCTTGTTTTCCACAGACCTTGGTGAGTATGAGAAGCAGGAACATGTGGTCACCCCCAGACGTTGGTGCCAGTTTGGCCTGACCCAGACCCACATCCCAGGGGTGTCTGCTGGTGGACACTCAGGTGGCTCTGTGAGACCTGTGGCCACTTGATGGTGCCAGAGAACCAGGAATGGACTGGGGCCTGATGCCAGGATTATGAGCCTGCTTGTGCTGATCCCAGGGCATCAGAGAGGGAAATTTTACTCAGCCCTCACAGCGCAAAGGACATAGGGCAGAGTGTGGTGAGAGTCACACTGGGTACTCCATGGGCGAATGTTCTGTAAACTGCAGCTGCCATACAAATACATGGTATCATGATTCAAAAAAAGAAAGAAAGGAAAGAAAACAAGCTACAAATATTACAGAAAGTCTTTGAAGATTTTAGAGCAGTTATGCTTTAGTCTGTTGGCACTAGGAATACATTCCGAGTTTCCCAGGAATCATGATTTCATATATTATGTCATGTTTTCAGAAGAGCAGAATCCAAGTTGTAGATAGTGATAGATATTAAAGGAAACAAAAACTGCCTGAATCCTGAGGCCTATGAGAAGGAAGAACAGGTGCTAATTTAGGATTGGAGAAATGAACCTGTACACTTAAATGGCTGGCTGCCTGCCTGATGTGGAGACCCTGCTGGTGATCTAGGCCTAGGGAAGCATAGGGTCAAGATACGAACTCTGAGAGATGGTCCTTTGTGGTATGGGATAAACAGGCCCCACAGACCCTGTTATCAGGTGGTCAGGGAAAGACCACTGGGGAGAACTTTTGTTTTGTATGTTTAGTACCATAATGTAGGTACCAAGAAGTTGTGGACTTTATTTTTCTGCAGAAAGTAAAAACTCTGTATTACTTGGTATTTCTTTGCCCTGTGTTTTGTGGTGGTTTTATTTTGTTTCTGTAATAACCATCATCTGCTTTAATTAGAGAAGCATACTAGATTTTCAGCACTCTCCCTCAGATTCCTAGTTATCATTCTAAACCACAGCCTAATGTTTCTAGATTTTATTTTTCTCCAAAAAAAGGCTTTTCTTATATAGTCATTTTCAACTGAAGGCTTTATTAATATTCTAAAAATAATATCCAGACTCTTAATGATCTGTGCTAATGGTAAGGAAGCGTCGGGCAGGTTTCTGCAAACACAAAACTCTGTCTCGCAGATTTGGGGTCTTTGGCTGAGCTGGATGAAGGCCTAACTCAGCTTCACACCCCTGAAAAAAAACAGAAGTATCAATTTTTACAGTGTACAATTCCATGTTATCCATGACATCATTGTGGTCATTGACAGAAAGCATCTTGGTCCCTGAGAGCACAATAGCTGGGAGTGGGCCTCAAAGAAGCTGTTTGGGGATTTAGAATCTGATAAATACCACCAGAGTGATTCCCTCTCTGGAAACAAGTACTGCTGCCTAAGGATGCAAATCCTTAGTGGAAGTGTGTAAATCAAGAAAGAATAAGGTGATGCAGGCATTATGATACTAATGAAAGGGCGGGGACAGTCAAGGCTGGCGGAACCAGATAGCCATGCTGCTGAGAAGCTGGCAAAAGCCAGGCATCAGAGGTCAGCAGTCTTCCCTTGTTCTCCCCGTTGGCAAAGGCGCAGCAGAGGAGTGGGGCCTGGAAGTCGGGACCCCTGGCTTCCCTGGTCTCAGCCTGAGGCTTTCTCTTCTTGGCTAAGTCAGGGGTACCTCCCTTGGCGTTTTCCAGGCAGTGTGGTGCCACTTAACATGCTGATATGGAATAAAATGGAGGCCAGAAATGCATCAAGTGACTTTTTAAGATGTAAGGATAAAGAATTTTATTTGAACTTAAAATTGTTGTTTTTATCATTAGGTATGCTATGTTGACTATGGTTTTAGTGAAAATGTTGAAAAAAGCAAAGCATACAAATTGAACCCAAAGTTCTGTTCACTCTCATTCCAAGCTACAAAGTGTAAGCTAGCAGGTAAGAGGAAACTTTTTTTGCAGCTCTCTCCATCTTGATGCATTATTACCATTGTACTTTTGAGTGGTTAAATCCTAAAATGTACTTAGTATCTCAAGATGTTGTAATGTGTTATATCTTGAAAGGTGTAAATAAATTCATGTTTAATGTGGTCTTTGTAAGATGTGATCATTATGAAAATGTTATGATGTTTTTATTATATTTTAGTTATATATAACATATATTTTATTACAGAAATGTCTATTGGCTGTTTTAAAGGGTTTTTATTGTTGTTCTAACTGCTCTAGTAACAACTGCTAGAGGCCCTGTATCACGGGATTTGATCAGTGTAAATCATGTTGTTCCACCTGTTGGGAAGTGACTCTCAGCCTCTTTCCCACTAAGTTGGACTCGGTGGTTGCTGCTCATCACCAAGTAACACACCCTCGTGTGCCCAAGCACGCGTTCGGATGTAGGTCATATGCAGTCTCTGGCATGGTCGCTGTATCACGGTTCTTTTCTTTCTTCTTCAAGGAAGCACAGAGGAATGCACAGTGTGAGAGTGACACTGTAGGGGTAACCTGAAAGTATGGAGGATACAGTGGCCATGTTAGTGATGAGGAAAGACATTGAAATATGCCTGCATCATGCCAAGAGAGCCTGAGCTAAATTCAGAAAATGATCAAAATTCTGTCATGAAAATTAGCCCTGCAAAGAAATACCTCCTTCCCTGCAAGGATAAGTGTTTATGTCAGAGGAGCTGGGTTTGGCTCTATCTGTGAGATAAATCTCAAGTAATTTTAAAAGCAAAACCTGTGGGAGTTAGTCTTGAAAAGAACAAGAGCACAGGACAAGATTTAGGTTGCTGAAATGAAAGATTTGATAAAAGCTATGAAGTTGTGTGTCTTGAGAACAGATTAAGAACAAGAGAAAAGTTGCTCAGAGGGAGTCTATGAACTTTTGCTCATGCATTTAAAGGGGAAAAATATAGAATAGACATTATAGTACCATTGGGGAAATGATGAGCTAGTTTTAATTAGTTTAATAGATTAACTTAGAGTTGTCATATATATGATACACAGAATTACAACTTTCAAAGAATTTAAAGAGTAATTAGACTACAATAAAATTCACCTAATACCCATTTTATGTTAAACACTATTTAATCTTTCTTTGATAAATCAGAAAGCTCTTTGGTACTCTCTGGGTCATCATGGTGTACTTAAAAAGAGGGAAAGACAGAAAAAGTGGTTGTCTAAATTTCCAATAAATGTGTGTTCATCTTATAAGAAAAATAATTGTGTATATTTAATTAGGAAATGAAAAAAGTCAAGGATACATTTTTAGGAAGAACATTACAAATACATGATTGGCGGACATAATTAATTGATAGCTTCTTATGTGTACAGTAGTCCCCTTATCTGCAGTTTCACTTTCCACAGTTTCAGTTATCTGAAGTCAACCACAGTCAGAATATATTAAATGAAAAATTCCAGAAGTAAACAATTCTTAAGTTTTAAATTGCATGCTGTTCTGAGTAGTGTGATGAAATCTTGCATCATCCCTCTCCGTTCCACCCGAGATGTGAATCATCTCTTTGTCCAGCGGATCCACTCTGTATACACTACCCATCCATTAGTCACTTAGTAGCCGTCGTGATTATCAGATTGACTGTCGCGGTATCGCAGTGCTTGTGTTCAAGTAAGCCTTATTTTACTTAATAGTGGCCCCAAGGTGCAAGAGTAGTGATGCTGGCAAATCAGGTATGCCAAAGAGAAGCCATCAAGTGCTTCCTTTAAGTGAAAAGGTGAAAGTTCTCAGCTTAATAAGGAAAGAAAAGAAATCAATACCAAAGTTGCTAAGATCTACAGTAATTTTTATTACAGTATATTGTTATAATTATTCTATTTTATTATTATTGTTGCTAATCTCTTACTGTGCCTAATTTATAATTTAAACTTTATCATAGGTATGTACATATAGGAAAAAATGTAGTATATACAGGGTTCAGTATTATTCAGGGTTTCAGGCATCCACTGGGGGTCTTGGAATGTATCCCCCTCAGATAAGGGGGGACTACCGTATTAGTCTTTTTGTTTTAAATGTGTGTTTGTGTATAAGTGAAGGCTCTTTCTCCTAAGGTAGAAATTCTGATTGCTCATCAAGTTTTCGTCTTGTTTTAAGATTGCCTGCCTTAGTGTAATCATTCAAAAGGGCATTCACATTATGATATATGTTTTAAAACTTAAGGGTAGATAATGTAAAGAAGATTTTAAAGCAAAGCTTTCCTATAAAATTTAAGAATTTTGTAATAGATTCATAATTGTAATAAGTAGCCAAAACAAACTTTATCCATCTTAAAATGATTATGCTAATTAACTAGAAATTAAAATATTCAATATTTTTCAGGGTTGGAGGTTCTAAGTGATGATCCTGGGTTAGTGAAAGTGGTTGAATCTTTGACTTGTGGAAAGATCTTTGCAGTGGAAATACTTGAAAAAGCTGATATTCCACTTGTTGTCCTGTACGATACCTCAGGAGAAGATGATATCAATATCAATGCCACCTGCTTAAAGGCCATATGTGATAAGTCACTCGAGGTTCACCTTCAGGTACCACTGTGACCACTGTCGTCGTCTGTTACACATATCATAGAGAAGAGAGTTAGAAAAGAATGTTATAAATTTTAGGCTAACACTGGATAGAGACATATTACATATGTATTGAGAAAAAAAGAAAGGGAAGTGGAAGGGGGAAAAATGCCAGAACATAAATAGTAATTATTAGGAAGTAGACTTTTGTTTTATATTCCAGTTTCTACAATGAGCGTGTGTTAATTTTTTATGAAATTATTTTGCAAAGATAATAGGGGAGGATAATACAAAAGAAGGGAAAGTTGTATCACTGAATGTGTTTATTAAATTATTAGTTTTAGCATTTTTTAAATGCTAAAATGTGAAGAACATTTTAAATGTTCTGCATTTAGACTGTCTGCAAAGAAGGAAACCTTTAAATTATAGAACAGTCACTCTAAAGAATAGGATGAGATGTTAAAAATGATCATTTTAAAGCCTTCATAGCAACACTGGGAAAATATTTAATAAAACAACAGTGAATTGTCTTTATTTTATGATTTGACTAAAATGGCTAAAATTAAACCTTTACTGTGATTATAATTTTTAAACATTACTAAAATTTATGTGGCCCATGGACATAGATTAGAAAGTAGGTTGGTAATGGGATTGATTTTGTGAGAGTTTTTATTTTCATTTCTGTTAATGTTGAAAAAATATGTTTTATTTAATAATTCTTTTTCTAAATTAATTGAAAGAAAATAAACCAAAGTTAAAGATGGACAATGGAAAGTGGTAATAAGTTAATGTATGCAAAATGTCTACATGGTACCCAACACAAATGATATCAGGTATTCCTTTTGGAAAGTGAGGTATCCAAATTAGTTTTTCACGTTTAAGTTATGAATCTCATTCTGTTCTATCCTCCAGCTTACTTAGAAGATTTTAAAATGCAAAGACTTAATGAGATGTTTGGGTAGCTCCTCCTGAGGTAGAGCAGAGCTGTGCTCTGTTCTCAAGCATCCTTGTTGTGTCCTTTGTTCCAGGTTGATGCCATGTACACAAATGTCAGAGTGACTAATATTTGCTCTGATGGCACACTCTACTGCCAGGTGCCGTGTAAGGGTCTGAACAAGCTTAACGACCTTCTGCGTAAGATAGAGGACTACTTCCATTGCAAGGTATGGCAACAGCATCATCCACCTCTAAAATTAGTCCTAAAGTTGCAAACAAGAGTGGTCACTAAATTGTGTAAATGTGAGATAAGATCTCTAGAATAGTTGGTCAGAGCCCCAGACTCAGAATTTTAAAAAAAAACACACACAGGTTTCTGCATTGTAAAATGAGGATAATAATAGTGTACTCATAGGATTGTCATGAGGACTAGTCGCAAGACTGCTGAGCACAGTGCCTGGCACATGGTAAGTCTCAACACCTGGTAGGTTTGTTATTTACAAGGTGCACTTGATGATCCTGCAGGGCAGCTACCTGTGACTGTCTGCCAGAGCCAGCTGGCTCCTCTGCCTTGGGCGAAGATGAAACCAGGGAATTTAGGAGGAATAAACTTCTAGGCATCACTCCCTGAGCTCCTTGTGGTCCCTGAGAACCTACCACCTCGGTAAATGTAGTTCTGCAGTTTAAATTTATTAGTAAGCTCTTTGCCCTTTAATTCTAGTATTCTTTTCTGAATCAGGACATGTAGAGGTTTTATTTTTTAAGGTTCTGAGGTGATTTCCTTACCTTCATTAGGACATGATAATCATAATCCAGAATAGGCTGTGGTTTTCAAGTGACCAAACCCTAATGCCACTTCAGCCCTGACCCCCTGCCCCTGTAAGTGAACCCTTCCCTCTAACCTACAAATCACACCTAGCTCCTCATGGCATTCCTAGGCAGTGTTGTATGGTAGCTATTTGGGTATTTGTTTGCCTTGCTAGAGGGTAGGCTTCTGGAGGGCAGAGACCAAGCCTTACCAGGTCCTGGTAAGTACTTAATTCATCAGAGTGATCATTTGCATGCATGTGCTTATAACCTGTGGTGGTGGAAAGCACTCTTGGTAGTCCCTAGTGCTCTGGTACCCGAGTGGAGACATTGCCTGTGGGGAGAGTACAAACATTCACCCCGAATGAGAGAGACCGTGGCAGGTCTCCAGCTTCAAGCTACAGCAGTATCACTGACACTGATACCCATATTTGTGTTGATAACATTTGTTTTGGAATTAAAATCTTATCTTTGAATCTAAATTTTAAAAGATGAAAGGAAGGGGCCGTATGGACAGCAAGGCCAACTTCCTCACTTTCATCCAGGCTGTTCTCCTCTTTGTCAGATTCATCCTCCCTCTTCGTGTTTAACTGATGGTGCCAGAGCCTGGATGAATCATGCTGACCTCCACGCTAACGTTTTTAGGCATTTTAACCAGGCTGATTTATGAGCCATGTACAGGGAAGGAGAGTAGATGACTGCCATCAACAAATGTGTGAGAAACAAGGCAGAAGGTCTACGACACCCTGTACATGTGCTGCATCCACTGCAGCGCATTCTCGGCAAGTCTGAGGTTACAGACGGTGGAACAGTCAGCCAGTGCCCCAGTGATGTTTTGCTAATGGTGTGGCAATGTGTTCTTTGCTAAAAGTAATAAAAGTATCATGCATTTCTGTTTTGTAGCACATGACCTCCGAGTACTTCGTCTCATTACCCTTCTGTGGGAAAATCTGCCTCTTCCATTGCAAAGGAAAATGGCACCGAGTAGAGGTAATATCAGTCACTTGACCTTTTTTTTAAACTTATTATGAAACATTTCAGATATTACAAACAAGTTTTTTTAAAAATGGAATAAGCACCCACGTGCCCATCACCAGTTTGAGAAATAAAACACAACCAGTCTGATTGACTCTCCCTGTCTGCATCCCCTCTCTTCTCCTGCCCCCCCCGAATTTGGTGTTTCTTATTCCTATTCATTTCCTTATACTTTCACTATATTTGTGTCTATACACACACACTTTTGCTATCTATATATTTTGATATATAGGTAGTGGAAATATAGAAATGCATATGTATATAGAATATTTATAATAAAAAATAAATGAATAAAGTATAACTAAATGGACAAATGTTTTTAAAATTTGTGTATATAGTAAAATGTGTTGATTCTTCTGAAACATGCTTTTTCATTCTTCGTGTTTGTGAGATTCATCCTGTTGATGTGTGCGGCTCTTTTTTTTTTTTAAGTTTTTTATTTATTGCAGTAACATTGGTTTATAACATTGTATAAATTTCAGGTGTACATCATTGTACTTCTATTTCTGCATAGATTACATCATGTTCACCACTAAAATACTAATGACAACCCATCACCACTCACATGTGCCGAATTATCCCTTTCGCCCTCCCCCCTCCCCTCTTCCCCTCTGGTAACCACCAATCCAATCTCTGTCTCTATGTGTTTGTTTATTCTTGTTATTATCTACTACTTAATGAAGGAAATCATACGGTATTTGACCTTCTCCCTCTGACTTATTTCGCTTTGCATAATACCCTCAATGTCCATCCATGTTGTCACAAATGGCTGGATTTCATCGTGAGGCTCTTGTTTGTTTGTTTTCACTGCTGTGTGATGTTACAGTGTATGACTGTGCCAACATTATCACTTGGTTCTCCTGATGATGGATATTTAGATTGCCTCTAATTTTTTGTCATGAACAACGCTACCATGAACCTTCCTGTGCACATTTCCCAGGGTACATATGTAGGAATGGAATTTCTGGGTATAGGGAATGTGTATCCTCAACTTCAGTAGATATTCCTAAGTGCTCTCCAGAGTCACCCTTCTGTTGAGGGTGTGGCCCTGTGAGAGTTCTGGCTTCTTGGGGGAGCCTCAGATCCTCCTTTCCTCCTGCCCAGGATGGCTTTGGCTTCAGTGTTCACATACTCCTCTATTTCCACTCTCTAACATTTGTCTTATTTTCTTGCCAGCTTGATTATGAATTTGAAAGGAGGTTTGTTATATTTTATCATATATTTCTGTATGTTTTTCAAAGACAGATTTTGGATTTTTGTGGTTCCTGTTTCTTTCGTTTTTCTTTCCTCCTTTTTGTGATATCTAGTTTGCCCAATTGCTAAAATTGCAAATTTGGGCTTTTTTTTTTTTTTTTTTCTGTTTTTCCTTTGTTACAGAGGTTCTTAATCTAGATTCAGGGACCTCTACTTTCAGGGGAGTTCTTGAATCCCCTGGAATTATATGCAAATATTGTTTGCATGTGTGTATTATATTTTTGGGGTGGAAGTATCCATAATTTTCATGAGATTCTCAAAGGAAACAACCCTAACAAAGTAAGAACCATTGCTTTATTGATTTTTAAATACTGCATAGCAACATTTCAATAACTTAATTATATTGATTTTCCTTTATTTATGTAAAATTTGGTCATCTACTTTAATGAAAGCAGCAATTTTGGAGTAATTATTGTCATTAATGTGAATGTGGGCCAGAAGGCTGAGATTTGGAGTTATATGACCAAGAGTTGTGTGCATAACTGTAAACTTCAAAAACATGACTCATTGAAAAGGAACACAGCATTATTCAAATTTTAAAGTTCTATGCTGTTTAGTGTGTAATATCCAAATGCACAAATACCTAGTTTTTTTAACCCTTAAGTTTTGAAATAATTTCAGACTTTTAGAAAGTTGCAAAAATAGTTCACAGAGTTCCCATATGCCCTTTACCCACCATCTCCAGTTGTTAACATCTTGCATAACAATGATCAAAATCAAGAAATTTACACTGATACAATACTGTTAACCAATCTGCAGAACTTACTGACGTTTCCCAGATTGTCCCACAAATGTTCTTTTTTTAGTCTAGGATCCCAAGTTGTATTTAGTTGTCATGTCTTCTTAGTTTCCTCGAACCTGGCAGTTGCTCTGTCTTTCTGTGTTGTTCATGGCCTTTTGAAGAGCAGCAGTATTTTGTAGATTATCTCTCAACTTGAGTTTCTTCACCTGTAGATCAGGTTATGCCTCTTGGGCAAAAATACCTTTTCATTATATGCTGAAATACTTTAGATAAATGTATAGTATTATTTTTATTACTATCAAATTGTGTACTGTCTACCTTTGAGGTAGCAAAAGTGTTCATTCTCTTAGTGATGTGTAGAAAATTAGGGAAGGAAAAATGATATATTTGTTCTTGACATTGTAACTTGTCTAAGCTTTATTTACTGCGAATATATTCTGAACTTATTCTGTACATCCAGCCAACTCTACTCAGTGGCCATCACTCTCCCTGTTTCCTCCAAACACATCCTGAGTGGTCTGTGTTCACTTTCTACACCACCTTCCCAGTCAGTCCTCAGCCACTGCCGGTTGACTTCTACCCACACTCCATCAGAGAGCCTGTTCTTGCAACAGAACCTTAATTGCACAATTCAATTAGTATCTTCCAGGTCTTATCTTACAGACCTCTTTGCTGCATCCAACAGTGTCAAAGCTTGAAATTCTCTTATTAGGCTACCATGTTATCAAATCCTCCTAATTTTCCTCATGATGTTCTAATGATTTCTTCTGCCTCAAACCTCAACCCTACCCCACCTCTGAAGTGCCAGTGTCAGTGTCCCCAAGTTCTATCCCTGCTTACCACTCTTCTCAGCTTCTGCATCCTTCCAGGCAATCCCACCTCATAGTTTCAGTTATCTCGCTTCTAATAGCTCCCTAATTTGTTTCCCAGCACGTGGTGAGCTTCAGATTTGAGCAAAAAGACAGGCTAGGTGTCCATCTCACAAACCACTCAAGCTCTACATGTCTAAAACCAAAATCATCTTTCCCTATTCTTGTCTTCTTCCTCTATATTTTGATGGTGCCTCCATTCATGCAGCCATTGAAGCTGTTCCTTAAGAGTTATCTTTGACTCCCACATCTTCCTCAGTCCCCGGTGCAGCCAGTCACCAAACTCTGCCTGTTTTATGTCTTTGTCATTTCTTGCCTAGATCATTGCAATACCATGCCAGCTGGTTCCTCTGCCTTTGCACTTGTCTTCCTCCAGTCGAGCTCCCTATCACTAGAGTGAGCAACCCAAAATGCAAATAATAATACATCCAACTTTTAATGAGACTTAGTTTCCTAGACACTAAATGTTGTTTTTTTTAAAACATGATTGCTCTTATTTAATCTTTATAAAATCCTATTATCCCCAATCTTATTGATGAGGAAAGTTTTTCAGCTAGAAAGTAGGAGAGCTGAGGTTTGAAAGCAAATCTATCTGATTCCAAAACCCTCACCCAGTCTTACCACCAACAATACATGGCCTCTCATCTCATTCTTCTGCTGAAGACTTGACATTGGCCTCTTCTCATCTACAGGTTCTGTCCAGCTTCTTTAAGACATACTCTCTGGCTGTCCAAATCCTTGCCTTTGCCCATCTCCTGGCCTCATCTCTTGCCTTGCCCTGCCCCTCCAGCCAACCAAATGCTTCAACACAACCGAAATGCTTGTAGACTCCACATGTAAGAAATACATGTCTTTGCTCATCCTCTCCTCTCTGTTTGAAGTGTTCAGATTAGACCCTAACTAGACTCCTACCAACCTGCTTTACTCCCATTCATCATTTATAATCCAGCTCTGAAAGGAGATAAATTTGTGAAATTTATGAAATTGCAATTTGTGAAAAAAGAAATACAAATATCCAATAAATATGATTATTTCTTAAAGAAACAAAAATTTACACAGTTTAAATGATCCAGCCAAAGGGTTTGTTAGATAAGTCACAGTATAGCCATATGATAGACTTCTGTAACATTAAAATGATGTAAGAGGTTAATAAGATGAAATAGTTTTATGAGACGTTGAGTGAAAAGTAGTCAATTAGGTTATAGTGTATACAAACAGATTATAGTATATACAAACGTTCTAATTTTTGTAAATCTAATTTTTTGTAAATGCATGGATAAAAGACTAGAAGGATAATTGTAATCTATAGTAGATTACAATTGATGTTTATATCATTCTTTTAAGTATCTAAATTTTCTACTATGGAGGCATTTTACTAAAATAAGAAAAAAAGTAAATTTTAAAGAAAAGTACCTATTGTAGGCATTCCCTCCTCCTGAAAGCTTGCCCTAACATCTACTTCCTGGCTAGGTTGGTATCCATCCTCTATGTTCTCATAGTACCCCATGCGTAACTTTATTATTGCCCTTGCTACATTGTATTATGATTATATATTTGTGTCATCTCTTATGAGACCAGGAGTTCTTTGAGATGGGGAAGTATGTCTCTGTGGCCCAGTTATACTTGGATATAATAAGCATTCAAAATATACCATCCAGGGCCGGCCCCGTGGCTTGGAGGTTAAGTGCGCGCACTCCGCTGCTGGCGGCCCGGGTTCGGATCCCGGGCGCGCACCGACGCACTGCTTCTCCCACCATGCTGAGGCCGCGTCCCACATACAGCAACTAGAAGGATGTGCAGCTATGACATACAACTGTCTACTGGGGCTTTGGGGGAATAAATAAATAAATATAAAAATAAAAAAAAAAAAAAAACAAAAAAAACAAAATATACCATCCATACCAATATATATGTTCAGCATATATATTTGAATAAATAAATGCATTTTAAAATATTGCCCTGTAGTACTGTTTGTGTTTATCATGTCTTAAGAGATTAAAAAATTTATAAAATTTAATAAAGCATCCTTTGGTATATCAGACTTCTCTGCCAAGAGTGGTCCAGTTCTTGACAGTCAGCATATTGAAAGCACCACCAATCATTCTTAAGGTGGCAGTTAGTGCAGTTGTAGGCATGAAGTTCCTGCCCAGATAACCATCCCAACGGGGCTGTATTTGGCCAGTGTAACTATATTCAATGATGGCAGATATAATGGCTTAGTAAGAGAAGTTATGGGCATTTAGAGGTGCACCCAGAATCTCATGTTTTAATGTTGCCATTTGATCACAGATAGGTAATTATTGCTTTACTCAGTGTGTAATTTCCCAATTTTTGAATTATTAATTTGAGCTTATTTTACCTCTCTATGACTTGCTGAGTTTCGATTTTTTAGTTATAGGGCAAATGATAAAAATTATCATTGGGTTTTCTGATGAAGCTATAGAAAACCAAAATATGTTATGATTTAGAAATACATAGTATTTACCTACTACCAGAAAAATTCTGTCTCTAAGTTCACTCTATTTTCTATTTCCTCACTGCTAAGACACAGTAGTTTTTTTTCTCACATTTTAATATTTTGGAGAACAGACTGCATCTTATAATCAGCAATATATAATAATGTATCAAATTGTTTTATAATCAGTAGTGTCCTAGAATTGAGAACATAGTAAATATTACTATATTTATTAATTTTCCTGATTATTAGTTTAGTGGTTATTACTGATTAAATGAATTAACAACTAGATGTTAAAATCAGTTCTACTCTAAAAGAATACTTATTTGGTAAATAAGTACATTTTAAAATAAGAGAAAATTGGGGGCTGGCCCGTGGCGCAAGCAGTTAAGTACGCACGCTCCGCTGCGGCCGCCCGGGGTTCGCCGGTTTGGATCCTGGGCGCGCACCGAGGCACCACTTGTCAAGCCATGCTGTGGCATTGTCCCATATAAAGTGAAGGAGGATGGGCATGGATGTTAGCCCAGGGCTAGTCTTCCTCAGCAAAAAGAGGATTGGCAGATGTTAGCTCAGGGCCGATCTTCCTCAGGAAAAAAAAAAGAGAGAGAAAATTAACACTGATAGTCTTTATTGCCTTTTATATGCAATTTAGAGATGTACAAATGTAATTGCACAGAAGCGTTTGGGCCTTTTGGATATGCTAATAAATTAGCCTAACACTTGTCTCGTTGCAGATCGCGAACGTTCACAGCAGCCGGGCTCTTGATGTTCAATTCCTGGATTCCGGCACTGTGGCATCGGTAAAGGTGTCCGAGCTCAGGGAAATTCCCCCTCGGTTTCTACAAGAGATGATCGTGATACCACCTCAGGTACTGTACATTACAGGCCTGAGTGATTTTCTGGAAGAGATTTGGATGCATTCGTAATCATGTTGTGAGATGCTCTCTCAGTTTTTACCTTAATAATGACCGAAGTCCAAGTTTGTAACAAAATTGGAAATGGTCCAAATGTGGTTGTTCACTGGTTTTCAGAGGTAAAATCTGGCTGACATAGACAAGAAGATGAGTCCAACTTAGAGAATATTGTTTGATAAATGTGTGTAATTAAGTATGTATGGTCATTAGGCTATGTTGTCCAGTCAGAGGTTCCATTTTTTTTTTTTTTTTTTTTTAATTTAAAATTTTATTTATTTATTTTATTTTTTTTAAAGATTTTATTTATTTTATTTTTTCCCCCCAAAGCCCCAGTGGATAGTTGTGTGTCGTAGCTGCACATCCTTCTAGTTGCTGTATGTGGGACTCGGCCTCAGGATGAACGGACAAGTGGTGCCTCGATGCGCACCCGGGATCCGAACCCGGGCCGCCAGCATCGCAGCGCACGCACTTAACCACCAAGCCACAGGGCCGGCCCCAGAGGTTCCATTTTAATAATTAGATGTCATTGGCTACTTCTACACAGTTTTAGGATATTGTATGTAAATATTTACTTCCAGGGTTCTTAGTTTAATTAGGTAACTATTCTCTTCAGAAATCTGTTTATATTTAATCATTTTCTTATATGACCTTTTCCCCATAGATTTTAGTAAAAAGATTAACTTCAGTCTCTCCTTTCTCTATTGGTAAAAATTCAGATGATAAGAATTTTTAATTATTTTGACTTAATTAAAATTAAGAACTATTTCCTACCATTAGGAGAAGTAGAGGATTTTATACAGAAATCAGTCGTTTTTTTGAAAATAAAATTGTTCAACATTCTGTGATTTCAAAAGGCCACTTGCTTCATATTTGCCAGATGGTATCTTATGCCATCAAAACTCAGTGAATAAAAAGTACTTGACCATGATTAGCATGACTTTTATAATTTCTCTCACTCCGGTCATCATTGCCTTTTCCAAAATGACTACTACAGAGAAGCTGTTTAACTTGTATTCAAGCCAATTTTCAAAATCACTTTTATTGTTCGCAGCCATAATATTGAAAATTATTAGACCTTTAAGTGGTACTTTCACTTGATAACGCCTCTGGCCTCTGTACCCTCTGCTAGAACATCTATCCGGGGCCAGCCTTACCCAGAAAAGGTTCCCTGGACTGGAGGGGAAGGGGGGATCCACCCCACTGACCTTCACTGTCTGAAAGTTACACAATAGTACCTTCTTTGTGCTACAGAATTAATAGCCACTACAAATTTTTTCTATTAATCTTATCTAGATTCATTATTTCGTAGACGTGAAGTTGTGGGAACCTTGAAAGCTAGCTAGGCCCAGCCTCTGGCTAACAGCATCTCTCCAAGAGGTCTAAGTCAGAGTAGCAAACGGATGGCCTGTCAGCCAAAGCTGACCTATGCATATTGGGTTTGGGCTCTTGGCTCTTACAGCGTTTAAAAATGTGAATTGGCTGCCAAGATTTAAAAATCAGATAATTTCACACAACAAATCCCTACTTCTAGCTGCTCTTGACAAACTAGAAAATCTGACTATGTTGAGCACTCTCCTTAGTGGGACAGTGCTCTGTGGGAGCTTGGGAAGTGGCATTCTCCTCTGTAGGGCCGTGCTCTCCAGTGCGCTGGCCCCATCTGGCCCGCTTTACTCCCTCATTGCCTGCCTGGCCCCTGCAGGTATTCCAGTGTGCTCTCTCTGCTCTAAGGGACCTCCTCTCGTGGCCAGCCCGGTGGCGCAGTGGTTAAGTGCGCGTGCTCCGCTGCAGCAGCCCAGGGTTCACCGGTTCAGATCCCAGGCACAGACCGATGCACTGCTTGTTAAGCCATGCTGTGGCGGCGTCCAATATAAAGTAGAGGAAGATGGGCACGGATATTAGCCCAGGGCCAGTCTTCTTCAGCAGAAAAGAGGAGGATTGGCATCGGGTGTTAGCTCAGGGCTGTTCCTCACAAAAAACAAAAGGGACCTCCTCTCCCCCAAGAAAAGGTCTCCTCCAGGGGGCACAGTGAGAGACTTGGAGCCCTCGAGGGAGGAGGGTATGACAGGGAGGGTGAGGCTCAGAGAGGGAAGAAAGAATCCAGGAATCCTGGAAGTAGGTTTTTTTCCTCTTCACAAAATTGTCTCCATCAATTCAAAGGCTACCAGGAGACTGAAGGGAGTCCCTGAGGTCACCTTTTACCTTCTGCTGTAGCCATCATGCAAAAGCTGGTGCAGTGATGGTGGGAGGTAAAAAGCACCAGGGAAAATGAGGCCTTTAGGTATCTATGGATTTCAGGTTTTCTTGCCCTCCTTAATTCTCATTACAACCTCCTTCAAAAGGTGAGCGCAAAGGCCTGGTGCCCACGAGGTACTCAGGAAATCCTGAATGAAGCACTAAGCCTCCAAAAAGATTTTTGCAACAGGAGTCAGATTTCATCCAAATGACACTTCATTTCTTTTTAGTTGGATTTAGAGGGAAGACCTAGATATAAGTCCCAATCCTGTCTTCACAACTTTGTGATCTTACACAAGTTAGTCTCTCCCAGTCTGTTTCACCATCTGTAGAATGGGGTCACAACGTTGGCCTGTCATGCAGAAGTATTGTAGGGGGAGAAGTACGTGAAGTGCCTGGTGTAAGCCCTGGCTCGTAATAGAAGTAAAGACAATAGTAGTGATATAAATAGAGCCAAGAACATAGCAGATGCTCTAGCCTAGAGCTGTAATTGTCATTATTAGCTGTTGCTGTTGCTTGCTTTCTATCTTGGCAATATCTGACTCGTAGGAAAATAATACTGATATTACTCATAAGTACCTATTTTAAGTTGGTGAGTTTGTTTTTTCATCGTGTTTTCTTTTCAGGCTATAAAGTGCTGTTTAGCAGATCTTCCACAATCTATTGGCATGTGGACACCAGATGCTGTGCTTTGGTTAAGAGATTCTGTTTTGAATTGCTCAGACTGTAGCATTAAGGTTAGTTATCTTATTGGTCTTGATATATTTAGAAAGGGAGCTGTCAGCCAGAAGGGCTCATTTGGTTTTTGTGAGAAGTTTTTCTTACTATAAACTGATGCTTTCACATCTGATGCATTTTTATAGTCAAGAGATTGGTTATATGTGTAGCTATAAGATATTCATGGTTTAATTTTTATTTAAGAATTTATCCTATATCTCCAGTATTATTTTAAACACTTTATGTAATTTTTCCATTATTAATAAGGTAGCAGAGATAATTCTCCGTGGTAAGGAATTAAGTCCCCAACAAAGGCACTGTATATCTCTTGATAAATGTTTCTGAAGATCATTTAAATAAGTCCTCTATTTCTTTTTTATCTGAAGTAGAATAGATTATAAACAATGTTGCTTATAATCTTGGTTTTTGCCTCTTTTCCTAAAGTTTATTTACACTGCTTTGTTTATTTCACTAGCTCATTTCTCTTTCTGCACTTTTGCATCTTCATGTCAAAAACATTGCTCATATTTCCAAGAATATAAATGTAAGATGATATTTCTGTTTTAACTGATGCAAATAGTATTATTTTATTTATATAAGCATTTAACAATGGAATGTTAGATCTTCATGAAGATCTCTAAATTATTCTGGCTCACACTGATTTTCCTATCTTCATACTCCTGTAGGCTTTATAATGTACAGTTACACAATTATGTGCCATTTTATATTCCTCAATTGCCACATGGTAATATTGTTTTCTCAGCTACTTGTTAAGTGCCTAAAGCCAGGGTACTCAACAAAAATATTTTTTAATGGTTGATTTTTGAAATGGTACTTCTGTGTAGTATGTATCGAAATGAATTAGCAATCAGTACTTCATTAGCACTCTAAAGGATGAATTTATATAGATTCATCTTGCTAGAAAAAAATTTAAAAAGTAAATTACTGTAGAAGGCTTGCCTTGCTGGTGTCGTGCTGTCTTCATGCCTGCATTCCTGCCTTTCATTCCCAGCCCTGTTTGACAAAAGACAGATGGGTCTTCTTTTTGTCATTCCTAAGATAAACCAGAGGAGCTGATGAGAAGAGTTAAGTCACCAGCCCTTTGGGACACACAGCAGTGGGGTCCCAGTTATCAATGTGTGGTACTCCTGTAGAAACACTCACCCCTCTGCCAGAAACAGCAGAGGTAGCTGGGTAGTCAAAGGTCTCCTAGGCAAAAGGTGCAAAACTGTAGTTTTGACCTATTCAGTGGAGCTTTCTTCTGTTTTTTGCCCCAGGTCCCTCTCTTCCCATGTAACTCCGGGAGAGGGTGAGGGGTGAGGGCACATATTAGGACCAAACAAGGAATTTGGACCAGAGGTCCTGAAGGGTATGGTGAATGTCAAAGCTTCTTCCTTCCCTCCCTGTCTGAGAGTGCACCAGCCTTAGCAGGATGCCTAGAGGACAGTCTGCCGTTGTCATGATTATTTCTTATTGTCGAAGCTGACTGATGAACACAGGGGGATTCATCATACTATTCTTTCTACTTTGAGTGTTTTAAAATGTCATTAATGAAAAAAAATTTTTAATCATGATATATAGAATCCCTTTCTCTCAGTGATAATGATCTCCGGCAGGTTATAGGTTATTCTCAAGAGTCTTTAGAAGTTAGTAAATTTTTCATTTCTGTAAGCTTGCTCCTGGTTTCTAGACTATTTTGACTTAAGAGCATACTCATTGCTATAGCTGTGATAGATAATTCATCTCACCTTAAATAAAATGCATGTTAGCAAGTTGGGTTTTTTTGTAAAATACTGTGTAAGGCTAATGTTATAACTGCCTCTCAGAATTCAGTGTGAACTTGGATTTCTTGAATTGTTTTTTTGTGTTTTCCAAAGGTTACAAAAGTGGATGAAACCAGAGGGATCGCACATGTTTATTTATTTACTCCTAAGAACTTCCCTGATCCTCATCGCAGTATTAACCGCCAGATTACAAATGCAGACTTGTGGAAGCATCAGAAGGATGTGTTTTTGAGTGCCATATCTGTTGGAGCTAGCTCTCCCAACAGCAAAAGTGGTAACACCCCCATTTTGGGCAACACTGGAGAGAATTTCAGAAAGAGCCTCACAGATGTCTTCAGAAAGTCTGTGGTGGACCACACCAGATCTTTCTCCATGGAGGAATTGCCACCTCCTATCCACTTGTCAAAGCCAGGGGAACATATGGATGTGTACGTGCCTGTGGCCTGTCACCCTGGCTACTTTGTCATACAGCCATGGCAAGAGATACATAAGTTGGAAGTTCTGATGGAAGAGATGATTCTGTATTACAGTGTGTCTGAGGAGCGCCACATAGCGGTGGAAAAAGACCAAGTGTATGCTGCAAAAGTGGAAAATAAGTAGGTCCTTGTATAAAGCATTTTATTCTACTCCTAAGAAAAATGTGTAGATACCCAGAGTCCTTAGTCCCTGTGGGGGGGACACTGAACTGCACGAATGGGAATTTTGAATGTGAATTGAGACTAATGAATGTGCACTTTTCTAATATTTAAAATGATGTCATTTATCTAAAAATCTAGTGACTGTATTCCTGTTAAAACCTAATTATATCTAAAGTGAAGGTTTAGATGTGTTTTGCATTTTTCTATTAGAAAAAAATTATTTTATTCAGAAAATAATGTTTAATGACCTTTTAATTTTAAAAATAAAATTTTTATTGTAGAAAATTTATAAAATACAAAAAGTATAAGAAATTAAAATCAGCCCACCAACATAACCCTTGTTAAACTACTTATGTATTTCTTCTAGTTTTTTTCTATACATATTTATACAATTGATATATTACTGTTATATATAATTTTGTGCCTACTTTTTTCACCTAACATAATCCTGTGAACAGTTTTCCATGTGATGAAATTTCTTTTTTTTTTTTGTCTTTTTTTTTGTGAGGAAGATCAGCCCTGAGCTAACATCTGTGCTAATCCTCCTCTTTTTGCTGAGGAAGACCGGCTCTGAGCTAACATCTATTGCCAATCCTCCTCCTTCTTTTTCCCCCAAAGCCCCAGTAGATAGCTGTATGTCATAGTTGCACATCCTTCTAGTTGCTGTATGTGGGATGCAGCCTCAGCATGGCAGAAGAAGCGGTGTGTCAGTGCGCGCCTAGGATCTGAACCTGGGCCGCCAGTAGCGGAGTGCATGCACTTAACCGCTAAGCCACGGGGCCAACCCTAAAATTTCTTCAGAAACATTTTTAATGGCTGAATAGTCCATCATATAGAGAGATCATAGTTTACTTATCATTCTCCCTTGTCATGTAGGTTTTTTGCTCCTAGATTTTTCACTATTATAAATACTATTGAGCATAAATCTTTGTTTGCATCTCTGATTATTTATTTATGGGATAGATTCCTAGAGGAGAAATAACTTGTTTAAAGATTAAAAGATTCTTGATATACGTTGTCAGTTGCTTCCTAGAGAGCTGCTGCCACCTTTTATAAGGTGCAGGAGTGCATATATTGCACTGCTCTTTGGCCTTTGGACAGTGAGAACCATGATTCCCTACACTTGTTTAGCACTTCAGTCTGTTTTCTCATGTTTTCACATTTGGATCCACACCCTCCTTTCCTGAAGCCCCCAGTATGTGCTGGTTCCAACCCCGTGAAGCCGAAGCACTACATGCTCCCCTCTGCCCTCGTTCCACAGAAGCCCCGGAGAATGGCGCAGCTGCCCCGGCCTGTCCCCTTTTCCAGCTTTCTTAGGGGAGATGAACAAGTTGATCTGATGATGCTGAACACGAAAGAACTGTCTCCCTTCCCCCTGCGCAAGTGCGCGCGTGCATGCGCACGCGCGCACACAGACACAGACACAGACACACACAAAACTCAGTTTAAAGGGTCAAACTGCTTATTTTTTCTATAAAATGCTTTCATTCTTTCTTAAGATAGCAAGCATAGGCATTTATAAAATTTTGTTACTTTCATGGGAGGAAAAAACCCCAATTTTCAACTCTTAAAAGTGAAAAGTAGCTCTCATTCTGGAAAGGATTCAACCTAAAAGTCGCAAGCTTTTCATCTTCAAACAAACATTTTTACAGTCATGTTATTTACAACTGTAAGCATAAATGGGTTTAATTCAGCATGGGAACGTTATTTGTGTAAATTTGCCTCATCAGAACTCTTTGCAGGATAATTTAATTACAGTTAAAACCAAACTAATATTAACTATTATCTGAGGGGCAGATTAATGATGATTAGTGGTGGAGAGGTCCTACTTGGAGGCAGGGGTTGTGTGGGGGCGAAGAACCCATAAACTGGAGACCTGTAGTCTGGGACTTCAGACTCCACCCCCACAATGGGTCAAACAGTTTTGCCCCAGGACTCTTGGGCTTTAACCAGTTTATTTGTCCCCAGATAATCAAGGGATGTCTTATGTATAAGAACAGATTATCTGATTTTTTTTAAACTTTATGAACTGAATCAGTGTAAAGTGTTTAGAGCTTCTATCTTGCTTACAACCCAGGACTATTTCCTAAACCAAATGTTTTCATCTCCTTTTGCACTTACACAAATTAGCAACCTGCACCAAACTGGCATTTCCACATATGAAAATTTCTCTTCAGTTTGATCTGAAGTTCTTATTTACATAGCTTATCTTCATTTTAATAATTACGATAATGATGATGGCGATCATTTGCCAAGTGCCTGTTATATGCCAAAGTAATGTGCTAGGCACTTTACAGTCATGCCCCGCATAATGAGGTGTTGGTCAACGAGGGACCACATATTCAACAGTGGTCCCGTAAGATTGGTACCATAGAACCGAGGTGTGCAGTCGGCTATACTGTCTAGGTTTGTGTAAGCGCACTCTGTGATGTTCACACAACAATGAAATCACCTAATGGCGCATTTCTCAGAATGTATCCCCATCATTAAGCGACGCATGACTGTGTATGTATTATTTCTGCAAGTAAGTTAAAATTAAATCTGACACATGAGATAACTGAGGCTCAGAGAAATGAAAGAAAGAGCACAGGGTGACGCAACTGAAAAGCGGCCCAAGTGGGACTCCAGCTCGCGTCTGTTCGGCCCACGGAGCTCACGTGCTTATGCTACCTTTCTGTGTCCCCGTCGTCTCTGTCACTCATGGATTATGGCCTGCTGCACTTTGGGCTTATCTGAAGGCTTCTGGAGTTCGCCCAGGAGCCCCACTCACAGACAGTGTTGAAGTTGGCCTTTTTGAAGATTTCTTACTGTAGTTCACCCTATGGCAGCTGTGTGGGTTTTCTGCGCCCATTCTCCGTTGGCGTGTCTTGGCTGGAGAATGAGCCAGGCAGGCCACCCCAGCCTCAGCCCAGCAGTGCGTCGCAGTGGAGGGCCTGCTGTTCCACTGGGCTCGTGGCTCATAGGCCTGCTTGGAGTGGGGCTGGGTCTGCCGTCTGTGGCAGAGCCCGACTCACCCCACTCAGGAGCAGAAACACTTTCCTGTTAGGTATTATGACCAATCTTCCTTTCCTTAGTGTAATAAGACTCTTTAGTCATGTACTCAAGACCATAGGACTTGAAAATGGTCCTTCATACCTGAACTTGGAAGTCTAGGTTTTCCTCATTTTAATGATGATGATGTAGGCTCAGAAGGGGGAGTATATTCATGTGAATTTCTTTCTCACACCTTGAACTAGACATCTGAAACCATGCTATTCTTCTTCCCCATATTTTCCTACCCTTTCCAGGTTCTTTATTTTAGGTGGTGGATTGGATTTTGTGTTTTGTTTTATTTTGTTTTTTAATCTCATTTGGCATAATTAAAATTATCAACTTTGCATTCAAAACTTTTTGTCATCTTTTCCTAACCTACCTTCCTAGTCTGACTTTCTCTTCCATTCCTCCACACATTCCACCTTCTAGCTACATAGAAGTGTTTGTTCTGCTCCAAACCACCATGCCCTGTCGAGTCTTCTCTGCTTTTCTTCTCATGCGTGTCTTCCGTCTGGCCTGGTCCTTCTTGCCTCCCTCTTTCCATCTTCCTCATGTATACCTCGTCCCAAACATGTAGCCATCTGCTGTCTCCCCATCAGACTGAAGGGATCCACTAGCCTTGTCCTGATTATCCTCTATGGCATTGGTTTTATTCTGCTTAGTGATGGTTGGTAGATTTTGTGTCATTCTCCTTTACTGGCTCCATAAGGCCCGTAAAAGGGTATTGAGTGAACAAATTCCGTCAAATGAGCCGGTGGCAAAGCAGAGGATCATAACACTTGGAAAAAGAAGAAGCAATCTCTTTAAGAAACTACTATGACAGTATAGTTTTATATTTTGATGAACATCATTCGTATTAATTTTTCTTTTTATCATAAAATGTTACCATGAAAGCAGGTGTTAACTTTGTGTGTTTTTTCTTCCTTTCTAATCCAATGCACATCTAGGTGGCACAGGGTGCTTTTAAAAGGAATCCTGACCAATGGATTGGTATCCGTGTATGAGCTGGACTATGGCAAGCACGAGTTAGTCAACATAAGAAAAGTGCAGCCTCTAGTGGACATGTTCCGGAAGCTGCCATTCCAGGCAGTCACAGCTCAGCTAGCAGGTAACTTCCGTGGAATCTGAACTCATGCCTCAACATAGTTTATATTGTCCTTTTGTCCTGGGTACTTAGGGAGTACTGAGTCATTGGCCTATTGAGTTCACTTTTCTGTTTTGTTTTGTTTTTTGGCACAAACTTCCCAAGCCTAATGGAAATAATTTTAATGATCTCTCATAGTCATGCCCTCGCACTATACCTGCTGTTTCTATTTTTCTGTATTCCTTTCTCTCTCTGGTTTCAGGTATGAGTATATTTCTAAAGCTGTAATCTTAGTGCAGGTACAATATTGCATTTTGCTTTCTTCATTAAGCATTTTTTTTTCTAGTTAGTTTTTGGGTGGTTGTTTGATGGTTTTGATAGTGATTTTTAATAGCTGCAAAATATGCTGTTCAATCATTTTCCCTATTGAACTTTTAGGTTGTTTACACTTTTATTGTGGTATTAAGGAAAAAACCTGCAGCTATGTATACTAGCCAAAACAAACAAACAAACAATGAAACAACCTAAATAACCAACAAGAGAACATTGCACAATTAATATTTCATAATTTGTTGCGTAAATTATAATACATCTACATAATAGATTTTCATGACTGTAAAACATTCCTAGGTCATAGACTATAACCATTTTCTATATATACCCAATGGAATACTACTCAGCCATAAAAAAGGATTAAATTTTGCCATTTGTGACAACATGGATGGACGTTGAGAGTACTATGCTAAGCAAAATAAGTCAGAGGGAGAAAGTAAAATACCATATGATCTCACTCATAAAAAGAAGGTAAACAACAGCAAACAAACACATAGAGACAGAGATTGGATTGGTGGTTACCAGAGGGGAAGTGGGAAGAAGGAGGGCAAAAGGGGTGATTAGGCACGTGTGTATGGTGATCAATTGTAATTAGTCTTTGAGTGGTGAACATGGTGTAATCTACACAGAAATTGAAATATAATGATATTCCCCTGAAATTTGTGTAATGTTATAAACCACTGTTACCACAATTAAAAAAAAAAAAGAATGTGACCATTTTCATGGCCAAGTTTCCAGTTGCATTGCAACGAATAGCATGCAAGTGTGTTGTCACCGCGTTCACACCAGCCTGTTGACAGTCATTACAATTAGAGGAGCTAAGTTAATAGATGTGCAGTGGTACTTCTTCATAGCCTGGTCTATTGAGATTTCTGTTTTGTCATTTGTGAAAGCAGTGCAAACGTTGGTGGCTCCTCTGTGTGCACTCTACTAGCAGGGAGCATGAGCAGTTAGATGAAGCTCCACCCAGAGGCCTGTCAGCATCAGCAGAGGGTGTGGAGGCCAAAGGGGCTGAGGGTGCAGGCAGCTCCAGTCACCCACACTCTTTGCGTGCCTCCACGCTGGGATATGGGGAGTTGTGACCACGTGGTGCGACCCTGATTGCTCACCCTCGCTCACTCCGTACAAGTAGCACAGTGGCAGAGTGATTGATCTCAGAAATGAAGGAAACTGTGTATATAGATTCTCCTTTTAATTATTGACCAGCTTTTATTGGAGAAAGATTTATTGCCTTTTTTTGAAGCATTTGCCAGTTACTTTGTGTCTCCTACTAGAATTCAAAGCAAACTCCCTTGATACTTGAATATGAACCAAAAATGGCATTTTGCACATGGCATGGCTGCCATTGATCTGCTTTGAACTCAAACCTCTAAATGGTTTCTTCAGATTTAATGGTTACCTTTTTTCTTTTTAATATTCCGGTTTTGCTAACAACACATTTTGTTAAACATGACCATCAAACACCCCAGAGAAGGAGTCTCTGTGAGGAATGGGTGTCTGGCACCAGCATCATGGCTGACAGTCACTGGTGCTTACTGTGTGTGAGGGATCGACCACCCCACACGAGGAGGTTTAGGCTGTCGCTGTCATACAGATCAGGAAACAGCGGCTTAGAGACTATTCTAGGCCTCTCTTGTGGGAAATTCTTAATAATGGAAGAACTTAGCCCACTCACTATATAGATAATAGGTCTTTTAAATTATATGTGAAACTCTCAGACCTTCATCACTATGGGGCATAATTTAGTGTATCTGATCTAGTGTATGTGGACTTAATTTATGTTAGTTTAGTAGTATTTCTTGAAGAATACATATTTTCGTCTCAATTTTGTTTTAAAATCTAAATTCTTTAACTTGAGCTCTTAAGTTGAAAAGTCATGGGGATTTAGAAATGCATGGGACTTAAAATAAACGATAATTAAACCGAGGCCTGAGAGATCAACTGATTTGCCCAAGATCACACCACTTGATAGAGGAAGAGCAGGGAATAGTAACTGAGTCTCCAGACTTTCAGTATAGTGCTTTACCATGATGTTGTATATAATTTTGAAAAATTAGTATACTGGAAGTATATCAATTTTTTTTTTTTTACTATACCTGGTTCATCAGGAAAAAAAATCTGTAAAAGAAGTGTTATTGATATAGTGATATTTTATTCCCCCTAGTTATCTCCATTATCAGTTTAAATCTGCGTATACTTTATGTAGGGGAATGGGCAGTAGTTATTATAACTTCATTTTATAACACAGCATTAAATCTCAAATGAAACTTGTGTCTATAGGTAAAGGCTTACAGAAGTATCCCTGTTCAGAATAGAAAAAACTATAAGCTGGACTGCTGTAAGATTATTCAGCAACTGTTTTTCAGTTAGGCAAGTCTAATCTGCTATGTTTAAGCTACTTTGGAATTGACTAAATAGTTTTCCATTATAATGGATCAAAGAAAAGCTCATTTGACCCCTCACTACTCCTTGTCTTTCTCATAGGAGTGAAGTGCAACCAGTGGTCTGAGGAGGCTTCGATGGTGTTTCGAAATCATGTGGAGAAGAAACCTCTGGTGGCATTGGTGCAGACAGTTATAGAAAATGCTAACCCTTGGGACCGGAAAGTGGTGGTCTATTTAGTGGACACATCGCTGCCAGACACAGATATCTGGATTCATGATTTTATGTCAGAATATCTGGTAGAGCTTTCAAAAGTTAATTAATCACTGCTTCTGAGACCTTGACAACTAATTCAGATTTTTTAGCAATAACAAAATGTAGTAGGCTTTAAAAAAAAATCTTATCTCTGCTACATGGCTCTGACTGCTGTGAGGGATTGAAAAGAATATGCTTATGTTTGATGAAAGATATTTAACAAGTTTTATTTTAACAGAGTTGACTTTTCAAAGAAAATTGCACTTGAATTATTACTATAATATTAGAATTAAAATGTTTATCAATATAAAAACTGACTACCTTATAATTTTTAGGCTTTATGATCTTAAGATGAAGAGTTTCCGTCTCTATTCATGTTGTCTTCCTTCCAGTGCTGGGTTCTTCTCCAGTTAAATCGAGAATTTCATGACTTAACTCTACTCTGGTGTAGTGGTGTGTCCCAGAGCAAGTGGTCCCCAAACCATATGAAGACTATCCTGAGTCTTGAACACATGAGCATTGCTAATGGTGCTGCTAGAGGAGCAGCCCAGGCAAACCAGCATGCCCCTCACCCCAAATCTTGAGTGGCTTCTCATCGCCCAGAGAGTCCAGACCAAAGACCCAGCCTTCCCCCGTCTCCTTATCCAACTTCAATGTCCACCACTCCCTGCACCAGCTACACTGGACCCTTACCTGGTCCCTGAGCCCCAGGCATGTTCACCCAGGACAACTGATATTCTAAAGCAAGCCTTGCTCCGCTCCAAACTATGCTTGTTCTATTCCCTCAACCTGCAAATCTTTCTCCCCCATCCACTTTTGTTTGTCAGCATCCTCGCTGACCTCCTGGACTGGCCATGAAGCCTTCCTGGTGTCTGTCCTACTCCACTGTACTTTAAGTATGCCTCTCTTGGTGCCCAGATCTCACTGAGCTTTCTAGTATATAACTGGTTGCCTCTGCACCAACCACCCCAACTAGATTGTGAGCTCCTTGAGGGAGGAAGAGGTCTTAGTCATCTCTCTAGCCAGTGAGGTACTGGTGGATGTTTGACAACTGGGTCTGGTGGGTGTGGTGGGGGAGTGAACCTTGATTTGTAGCGTCTGACGATTCCCAATTTGTAAATACTCCCACTATTGTTGAGTTCCAACAATGTGACATCTCTGTGGAGTTGGGAAGAGAGGCACCCAAGCGGCTCTTGTGAGCCTGTACAATGGACTCCAACGCCACCCTCTGTATCCTCCCCAATACACAGAATGATTTCTTGCACAAGTCAGGCACCCATTATGTGCTTGCTAATTGATGGGCAGGCTGGAGCGACAGCAGGATGGGTTGGAGGCATTAGCAGGGATCCAAAGATGAGGCGGGAGGCCCTGGACGAAGAGTGGAGCAATGGGAATGAGGAAAAACATTAAAGGCTTTTTGAAGTTTTTAATTAGAATTATTAGAGCTGACATCTTAGATACAGAAGATAGGGAAAAGGAGGTGTCGAGGAGTGAAGCCAAGTCTTAAGGTCTGAGAGGGCCTTAGGATGATGACCCTTACTCAGGTTTTGACTGGGAAGCTTAAAATTTTGAACATACTGAGTTTAAACTAATAGACCTCTGTGTGAAGATACGCATAAACTATTGGAAATATGGAGTGGATTTCAGGGGAGAAGACTAGGCTAGAGATAAAAATTCTTAAAGTCATTATTTTTATTTGAGAAAATATAGGAAAAGTGAGAACAGAAAGAAGGTAAAGACAAGATGTTTTAATTTTTTCATGTAAAAACGCTGAAATTATCTTTCTAGCTTTTTAAAATTTGTATTTAATATTTATAATTAAAGTGATCCAAAATTCAGGAATGCTTATGCCAGTGATTTAAATAATCATTTATGATAAAAATATCCTGACACATAAATGTTTAAGTGAAATAAAGTAGTGTAAATGTTTTTTATAATGGTTTCTTTCCCTAACAAAAAACAACAAAAATCCTCAAATTATCTATAGATAAGGAAGAGGTGGTTTCTATTTCATTGAATAAAGCAATTAATTATGTTGTTTGTGTAACTGAAAAATTAATCTGGTGCTAGGAGAGTTTGGCAGACAGACAAATGAAACTTGACCCCGACCTCATGCCATTTTCAGAAGTCAAGTCCAGGTGGATTGAAAGCCTAAACATGAAAGGTTACTGTAGGAGGACAACATAGGACAATAGTACCTTTATAATCTGGAGTAGGAAAGATGTCTTAAACAGGACACACAAAGTGCTAACAATAAAGAAAAAGAGGGATATACTAGAGGACATTAAAATGAAGAACACCTGCCCATGAAAAGACATGATGAAGGCGAAAGGCACAGCACAGAGGGGAGGAATATCTATATCGTGGGAAAATATGCTGTATATAGTCAATAAACAAAAGATTCTCCAGAAGCAAAATAGGCAATACATTTGAACAACCACTTCACAAAAGAGAAAAAGCAACTGGCCAATAAACTCGAAAAGATGCTCAACCCATTAGGACACAGGGACATGCAAATTCAAACCTCAGTGAGACACCAGGACTCAGGCACCAGAATGGCAAAAACGTTTCTGTTTTTGTTAATTCCAAGCGTTGTTGAAGGTGTCTGCACTTCTGCAGGAGGGTGCTGGTAAAGAAGCTTCACAGCAGCACTATTTGTAACAGCTAAAACCTGGAAACAACCCAAATGGCCATTAACAGTAAAATGGACTTTTGCAAAACTGGTATATTCATGCAATGGAAACCTCTGCACCAATGAGAGTAAACCAACTACAGTCACATGGAACAGCATGGATTAGTCTCACAACATGGAGTTGAACAAGTGAAAACAAACTGGAGGAGAGAGGAGAGCAAGGAGGTGATTACCATCAGAGTCCAAGTGATCACGTTTAGGAGGGAGTTGTGACCCAGAGGGCAAGGCTGGCTCCTGAGCTGTCCGCAATGTTGTTTCTTGACTGAGTGGTGGTTGCAACAGGTGTTCTCGTGATAAGAATTATTGAACCTGCACACTTATATTGTATGCACTTTTCTTAAATGTCTGATTCCACAACAAAAGCGTTTAAAATAAAAAACCTAGAATATTAAATCATTGCTTTATTTTAAAATATATGGCACATACCCCTTGAAAAGAGCATTCTCTTACAGCTGGGAGGGTTTTGTAATGTAGGAATATATTTTCATGGAAAACAAGATTTAAAAAAAAAAAAGCTAAACCAAAATCAAGGGTTTCCCGTTAGTAATCTATCCACCAGGATTAAAAAGAGTTGATATTATTAGGGTCTACCCCACCAGAAACTTTCCCACAATAATCCAAAGAGACTTTACCTTCTGTCCATACAAAGTGCTTTTTATGAGCCATTTTTAAAATTAAAACACTTAAGTTTCTGTTTGGGTTTAAGTGGTTTGTTCTGGCAAACATATTAGCCGTTTAAGACAGTGGGACGTTTTCGTTGTGGTTAAGTTGTTGTTTTGGACACTCCATTCTCTGAGGGAGAGTGCGTTCGGCTCTGTTGGAGCTGCGTGTTCACAGATTGGTCGTTGTTAAAGCTCCGGCTCCTAGCACACTAGCTGGGCTGCTGCCAAGAGGGGACGGGCCGTCGCTTCAGTCACAGGAGGGAAAGGTGCGGCAGCCGGTCGGCTGGCTTTGCTCCATCCAAGGTCCTACCGATTCTTACATCCTAGACCCCGCGGGTATGAAAATCCGCCCACCTTTTTCCAGATAACTCTACCGTCGCTTAAACTCCTCTTGGTACAAGTGGAGACACCGAGACAGACTGGGGGCAACCCGCACCCACTTGGCCGCGGAGCCAGGCTTCGGGGCGGCCTGGCCCCCGCCCCGCGCTCCCCCAGCGGGTGTCGCTCCCCGGCCGGGGACGGTGTGCTGCGCCCCGGCGCCCCCGAGTGGAGGGAGAGGTAAGGAGGGCGAGGGCGGCGGCGGGGCGGGGCCTGCG